TTAGAACGAGCCGTTTTAGGTAGGCGTGGCTGACTCTTAACTTTTATAAAGAATATCTCTTTGGATTTGAGACTTTAGTCTTTGCAACTTTACAGATCTTCTTTATGCACCAAGAGCTTGTAACACTTCAAAGAGAAGGGAAAAATTTAAATCGCATCATATGACCCCTTTAAGTTTAGACAGATAATCTATGCAATACAAATGAGTCTTACTTCATTGTGAGTAATGATTCTTTCAATACAATGAGTCTTACTTGCTGGGTGACTTGTTATTGTGTGTGAGTAGCAGCAGGTATCCTCTGTGCCAGTGAGTTAGAAGTTTGTGCCCATCGAAAGCAAAACAGGGTCCTCTCTCATCGGGCTGGTACAAATACACACAGTCATCTCCAGCCACTATGAACTGTGAGTCCTGCGAGGGGTCTGTGAGCGCCGAGCAGCGGAGGGCACAGCCGTGTGTGTCCAGTTTTATACGAGGGTACTCTTTCACTGATAATGTGTAACACTGTCAACATAAGAATAATGCTGCTTTCAGTTCAGTATGATTTTCATCTGGATTTACACGCTTTTCCAAAGATGAAGAAAATCACATTCCATGTAAATAACGTACCTGCACTTTTTCTAAAGTGGCGACAAACAGGTGTGTGACTTTGCCAGCCTGCCGGAAAGCCAGGCCTGTGATTGGACAGTTGCCCTCATGGAGGCTGAGAGTTTTACTGTGTCTGTCTCTGGTGATGTCACCCTTCGTCAGCACAACACTGCCATCTGTAAAACCTGAGCATTTAACACAGATATTACTGACATTGTTATTATAGTATAATTAAAATATTAATATTTTAAATTAGATTTATTTTTATATTTTTCCATTTTAATTTTAGTTCATTTTAGTAATTTTGTTGTGTTTTTGACATTAGTTTTGGTGATTTTAAATATAGTTAAACTGAATGAAAAAAGTATTTTTTATATTATATTTTATACTTTTATTTCAGTTAACATGTATTTTATTTTAAGTAAATTGTTTTATTTACCTATAACATATATTTAAAAAATCCTACCTATAGCCATGAAATTAAGGTTTTCATGTACACTGAGACAAGACACTTCAGTAGGTTTGTTTCCAGGTATGGCAGGGAATATCCGGGTACACAGAGGACTGCCGCTGTCCTTCTTATCAAGGTTCCACACCTTCACCTGATGGGCAAACACATGCACTTTAGAAATCAACTTACATCTCTAAAGCACACACAGATCTGCACTTGCACTGACATGTATCTTCAGCAGACACCTGTCGTGATTCTTACCAGAGGATTGATGCCAGGCTCATCCTGACCCACAGACACCAGGATGTTGTGTTGTTTCAGCTGGTACAGGTGTGTCACGCGCAGCTTATAAGCCTGAAAGCTGGACGGCTGCAGGGAGCGGGTCAAAAACCAGATCTGCCCGTCCATATGTGCATTGCAGGAGTTAACGAAAACGGACACATATGGCATAACTAAAATCATATTTAATCATCCAGAAAGGACTGAATGTTGAATTCATGAAAAATCTAAAAGAAAATACAATGTCATTATCCATTTTACAAAGCAGATTTACTGCAACCTATTAAAATACGCTACAATTTATGATTTGTACAACTATGATTATGAAATATATTTAGTATTATTGTTTATTAGATTCATCATTGCTAAACTAGCCTCAAGCATGACGTCAGCATATTAAGGATATCTCCAAGCACAATGTGTCCTCGACCTGAATCACAGGCCGATATTCCCACCGGTAGTTGGAAATTTTTCCCATTTTCGCTCGGATATTTCACCGTTTCTTTATCGAAAAACACAAAACGTCTCCACTGTAAGAACGCTGCCATTTTTCAAGCAGTTCTTGTTTAGCAAAATCATGTGACTCACATCACGGTCATGTGACTAGTGTCAAGCTATTCTTGTTTTCTGTATTCGCGGTATTTTTAAGGTTGCACACAAGTCACGAATTAAATTGATAAAATTAATTTAAACATTAAATGTAAATTAAATAATTGATGCTGTTTTTTAAGCCAAAAATACACACCAAATAGAAAATTATAAGAAAAAATATACATATTTAATTTAAATGTATGCTTTCAAAAGTTATTATTATGGCCAAAAGACATAATACAACAGAAAATTAACCTGCTAAGTCCGATTCGTGAACGAACTGTTCTTTTGATTCGGATCTTTTCAATTAATCTCTGGAACCGGTTCGCGAATGGGACTGAACGAATCTGTGCGTTTCATGTGTCAGCAGTCCCTTTTCTTTGTCGTCTCTTTGATCGTGACTCGTGATTAGGCAAAGAGTCAGTTACTTTTATAGCCAAACAGCAGAAATGTTACAAGTATAAACGTACATATGAAGAAAGTTGGTTTAATAAATATAATTTTATTTCATGAAAAACGTAATAAACAGAAATTTGCCGTATAACTTAATTGGGCCGTTTTTTTTTGTTTTTTTTTGTTTTTTAATTGGGCCGTTTTATAACGTAATAGATGCAAAGAATGACGTAAAAGAACCACTGAATCGTTTCTTTGAAATGAACTGTTCAAATGAATATATTCGCAGAGATGAGTCGGGCTCCCGCACAGCCGTTATGTTCCCCTATTTGACGTGGACCAATCAGGTCCGTGCTTACTTACACGACTGACCACTCTCGCGCACTGGTTGGCACGTGGACCAATCAGCGTTCTCCATTCAATGGTAAAGAGGCGGGACTTACGAGCATAGCGATTAGCGCTTCCCTCGGCGAGCTGCGAGTTGTGTGGATCCAATGAGATCACGCCGCGTTCCGGGCCCAACGTGTTAGAACAAGCCGGTGAGTGCAAGAGCAAAATTAAGCAAGTGAGGTGGTGTGCTCACAGGGCATTGCTGGTTAATGCGATCTCCCTGGCTTCTGTAAGACGTTAGATATTAAGGTTTAACGCAGAAAAGTTGTGGTTCATAATTAGGGCAGGGTAAGCGTTTCTAGTGGATCCAATGAGATCACGCCGCGTTCCGGGCCCAATGTGTTAGAACAAGCCGGTGAGTGCAAGAGCAAAATTAAGCAAGTGAGGTGGTGTGCTCACAGGGCATTGCTGGTTAATGCGATCTCCCTGCCTTCTGTAAGACGTTAGATATTAAGGTTTAACGCAGAAAAGTTGTGGTTCATAATTAGGGCAGGGTAAGCGTTTCTAAATATTGTTGTTCAGGTGTCAAGAGGGATTTACCAGTCAAGAAGAGCCAATATAATACTTGATCTGACTGAAGGTAAGTGCCATGCCATCACTTTCTTTGTTGGAGATGTTTGGGCTTAACTGAGTGGTTGCATATGTTCACAAATCAGTAGTAACGTTACATCTACCAGACCATCAGCTGCATGTTCTTATATGTAAAAAGAAAGCGTTCTGTTTACAATGTTCACTTTATCAAGCAGTGAAATGACACTTTGACATGGTCATGATGCTCTTCCCATCAGGATCAGGCAGCCTCATTCAAGCTTACGTCACACGGGCTGTGCAACTAGAAGTTTCCACTTTGCATTTTTGAATCAGCATTACAAATAGAAGAAATGTGACTGTAAAAATGAAGCCAAATGAGATTTGTGAACATATATTAACTATAGTCTCCTTGTATTCTTTTTACACCTTAGCTCTAATGTCTGAATTCTGCAGAAAAAGCTCTGCAAAAGTGCTTCCTGGAGGCCCCTCAAAATATTTTTTGATGGGACCCTTATATGACACACATTTCAGGTTTTGGGGGTTTCTGCTACAGAATTGAACGGTTAAATCAGCTGTGTTTTATTAAGACAACATCCAAAAGGTACTGTTGGGGGGCCTCCAGGAACAGGTTTGTGATCCACATGTTCTCAAGCTTTGTCTCAGACTTGTGGATGGGATTGGGATCACATCAAGTCAGCATGTACCTGTTTACACCTGCCACTGACCGAATGTGTCCACCTACACGTCCATATTTGGCATTCGGGCAGTTTTTCATATCACAGTTGTGATGTAGGACTGTCAGTTTTAGTAATAGTGTTTGAGATTATGATTTGAGGGAACTTTTCATATGCTTCCTGTTTTTGTGCAGAGCTTTTACTTTTAGCCTACATGCTGTTGATCCAGTCTTTGTGTCTTTCCTGCAGGTCACAATGAGGGAAAGGCTGTCTTTATGGGCTGTTTTTTGCCTATTAGTAGCATTCCTGCCTTCTCAAACAGGTAAGCACCACATAAATTGTGATTATAGTCTTTTTTTATTACTTTGGTGATGTTCTTCAGGATGAATTTAAATCTATCAAGATTGTAAACATGCGTTATATATTTACATTGTGGTTTTCTTATCTAGAGTGAATAATTTCAGCTCTCACTGACATTTTTGTGTGTGTTGCAGAATCAGTTGCTGTGATGTCTGTGGACTTGGGCAGTGAATGGATGAAAATCGCTATAGTGAAACCTGGTGTGCCAATGGAGATTGCATTAAACAAGTAGGTTTTAGAACAGAGTGCATATAAAATCCACAGATGTCAAGCGATTTAGACTTATAATATAGAATAATTCATTTCGGACAACATTTTACTCTGTTGTGACATTTAGCTTCTTTTTTGTGTAGGGAGTCCCGGCGGAAAACTCCAGTCGCAGTGTGCTTAAAGGAAAACGAGAGGCTTTTTGGAGACGGCGCTTTAGGAGTGGTAAGTCATTGTACACCATAATACCTTCTTTAAAAGTCAACATAAAATGGCATTTGCAACAGATTTGGGGTTAAGATTTTTTTGTTGTTGTTTGTTTGTCAAAGAAGTCTCTTATGCTCACCAAGTCTAATAAAAAATATGCTAAAATGGTAATATTGTTTACAATTTAATGATTTAAAATATCTTTAGTTTTACATGATCCTTCAGAAATCATTCCAATTATGCTTATTTGGTGTGCACAAAATATTTCTTTTTTATAATATTTTTATGAATGTTGAAAATATTGATATTTCATGGAAACATTGATACATTTTTATGATTTATTTGATGAACAGAAAGTTCAAAAGAACAACATTTATTTGAAATAGATATCTGTAACTATATAAATGTCTTTAATGTCACTTTAGATAAATTTTATGCATCTTTGCTAAATAGAAGTATTAATTAAATACCCTAAACTTTTAGACAATAGTGTAAATCATTCAAAATAAGACCAGGTACATGGATTAAGAAAGTAAATGGACTTCATGTTCTGTAGAATGAAAAGCACCCCTTCACATTTTCTTTGTCTCTAACACCTTGTTGCAGCATATTTGACAAGCTTTGACTCTAGCATTCTTTAATCATGACAGGCTGTGAAGAACCCCAAGGTGGTTTACAGATTCCTCCAGAGCATTTTGGGAAAGACGGCAGACAATCCACAGGTGGCACAGTATCAGAAACACTTCCCTGAACACCAGATGCAGAGAGATGAGAAAAGAGGAACAGTGTTTTTCAAATTCTCAGAGTAAGTAATGGAGCACTTGCAGATGCATTAGCTGGAACCGATGTGTTTTATATTAACATGAAAAATGAATCTTTTATATCATCCAGAGAGTTGCAGTATACTCCAGAGGAACTTTTGGGCATGATATTGAACTACTCTCGTGGTCTGGCTCAAGACTTTGCAGGTTTGATTATAAGGAGTGTTTTGAATAGCTGCCTTGGTCTTTGCAGAGCGGGGTATTTGAACGCACCAATAATTTAGTTCTCGTGGTCTGGCTCAAGACTTTGCAGGTTTGATTATAAGGAGTGTTTTGAATAGCTGTCTTGGTCTTTGCAGAGCGGGGTATTTGAACGCACCAATAATTTAGTTTGTTTTTCTTCTAACAGAGCAACTCATAAAAGATGCTGTGATCACAGTGCCAGCCTGTTTTAATCAGGCAGAACGCAGGGCAGTCTTGCAGGCTGCCCATATAGCAGGTCTAAAGGTCCTTCAGCTTATCAATGATAATACTGCTGTGGCTTTGAACTATGGAGTCTTTAGGAGGAAGGACATCAACTCTACCGCACAGGTACTTCTGAAAGGTTTGAAGTGAATTTTATTTATTTATTAGGTCAGCAGTGTATCAGCCAATGGTGCTGTTTATGAGTGAGACTTATCTTTTTGACCAACCGATGGCTTTTTGTGATGTAGAAATGCATTTTTAAATGGGATTTTTTGATACTTACTTTTTTTGTAGAACATCATGTTTTATGATATGGGATCTGGCAGCACAACAGCCACGATTGTCACGTATCAGACGGTGAAGACCAAGGAATCTGGCACTCAGCCGCAGCTTCAGATACGTGGAGTTGGGTTAGTCGTGGTTGTCATGTTTTTGCCAAATTTGTTGGCCACGTGGCCAATGTATATGTATACAATATGCATGTATATGTATTTAATATGCATGTATATGCATACAATATCGCTGTTTTTCTTTTAATATTTAGGTTTGATAGAACACTTGGTGGATTCGAGATGGAGCTGAGGCTCAGAGATCATCTTGCCAAGCTCTTTAACGAAAAGAAGAAATCCAAGAAAGATGTGAGGGAGAATCTGCGCGCCATGGCCAAACTCCTTAAAGAGGCTCAGAGACTCAAGACTGTGCTGAGTGCTAATGCTGAACATATGGCACAGGTATCTCAAACTGAAATGACAATTTATTTCAATAGTGTACAATACAGTTTGCAAAAATTAAGAAAGTCTGCATAAAATCAAAATTCAGCTATTTTCAACATGCATATTATTGTTGCTATTATTGCGAGCCATTCAACCGTGCATATGTTTCTTTTTTTTTTTAACCTCCTACTTTTAAATGATGATATCAGTTTTTCTTGCCATGAAAATAGCCATAGAAGCTGGAATGGCATTAAACGCAAACAAACATAAATGATAATATCATAACTTAATTAACT